CATGGGTAATACCATTTTGCAAAGAAACTATATCAAGAGAGAAATTCAAAGAAATGAAACGATTCTTAAGGTTCGATGAAAGAACAACAAGATCTACTCGATTACAGACTGATAAATTTGCTCTTGCATCAGAAATGTGGAACAAATTTATTGAAAACTGCAAATGTGTTACCGGCCAGGACAAAATATTACAGTTGATGAACAATTATTCCCATCTAAAGCTAGGTGTAGATTTATATAATATATGCCTAATAAACCTGAGAAATTTGGAATAAAATTTTGGTTATCTCTCGACATTAATACTAAATACCTCTTGAATGGATTTCCTTATATAGGAAAAGATGAAACAGCAAATCCTCAATTACGTTTGTCTGAAAATGTTGTCATAAAATTAATGAAGCCACATCTAAACAAAGGGAGGAATATTACCACGGATAACTATTTTACTAGCATTAAATTAGCAGAAATGCTAAAATCAAAAATACAACTGGGGTCGGCACATTGAAAAAGAACAGAAGAGAAATTCCTATATCTCTGAAAAATATGTGTAGTTATCTTTATTCGCTAACATTAGTGGAGCATGATAATATCACTTTTACCATCTATCAAGGCAAAAGGAACAAAAGCGTTTTTCTACTGAGCTCATTACATTCTACTGTAAAAAATGAAGGAAGACAGTCTCAAGAAGTTGACCGATTTAATAGCATTTTACAACGCAACAAAGTAGGGTGTGGATATTCGTGATCAGATGTGGTGAAAGTATTAAGTTAAATTGGCTTCTAGACGATCTTTTTCAATATTTTGGATCATGCAGCTTTAAACGCCTGGCTAATTTATAAAAGTATAACAGGAAACACCATTAACAGGAGAGATTTTCTCCTGAAGTTAGGAGAGGAGTTAAGAGTGGTACATATGGCTTCAAAACTCCCAAAGATCCTTCTTGAGTCTTCAGAAAAAACACATGAAAAGAAAATGGATATAAAGAGAAAAAAGTGTCAAATATTGAGATGCAACGGAAACAAATCTCAAGAATATTGTGCATCTTGTCCCAAAGTTATGTGCGGAAAATGCACTGGGAAAATTGTTAAAAATTATTTTTGTATCAACTGCATTAATTCTTAATACATATGTGTAATCTCTAATATTTTAAACATTAAATAGAATTGAAATGCTTTACATATTCCATTCAGCTACACATATAATGATATAACAAACATCAGAGAGCATTTCTCTTTTCTGGATTTAGAAAGTGAATCATTCTCCGAGTAAGTACATAAAAAAATATTATTATATAAATTGTGTTTTATTTTAGTTTAACATTAGTTCTAATTTGTGAAACCATTTATTTGAAATCAATTCTTATATCAAATTAATCAGTTATTTGAGTGATTGTAGTATGATCCAATTGATCGCCATGTACTCGATACATTTACAGTATTTTAAAAAGTCAATAAATTATCATGTGATATTAAATATAAATTATGAAGTACATATAAAGTACATATTTGTGCCCATGTATGGTATTTAAAAGTGTTTTACCATTGTTATTTCAGTATTTTCATCGAAGGGTCAAAATGACTCCTTATCGCCATTCCAGTAGGTAAGATTTTCCCGCCGTTCTAGTGTTAAGTAAAAAGTGGAATTGCTGCAAAAAATGGATAAAGGCATATCCATCTCAAAATTATGCGAGGAGCATGGCATTGGAAAGTCAACTCTATATGACATTAAAAAAAAAAAGGAACTTTTAAAATTTTTTGTAGATTCCTACACCCTACTCGCAATGAGTAACAGAAAAGGTATTTGTTATGCTGAAAGTGACAATTATGACAAAGTGATAACTGAATGGGTCAGAAAGCTTCGCGGCGAGGGCGTGCCATTGCCAGGTCCATTGCTAATGGATCAAACCAAAATATTTCATGAAGAAATTAACTTAAATCTGAGTGCACATATTCAACAAGTTAGTTAACCAAATTTAAAAATCGCCATGTTATAAAGCAATTAAAAATTTAAGGTGAAGAAGCTTTAGCTGATACTGAAGCTGCTGAACTATCTGCAGATGAATTCATTGAACTCATTAATGGTAAAAAGTTGTCTCCAGAACAAATTTACAGTGCTGATGAAACTGGTCTTTTCTGGCAATACATACTGCAAAATACCCTGGCAACCTCTGCAGAAAAGTCTCCAACTGGTGTCAAAGATTTTAAAATGTGACTAGCAATTTTATCATGTGCAAATGCTGCATGAACAAACAAGTGTAAACTTTTCATAATCGGAAAAAATACACGACCTTAAACGATTTAAAGGAGTAACAATTTTCAGCGTTATGTATCGGGCAAATAAAAGAGCATGGATGACACAAGCATTACTGGCAATATGTATCACAAATTACCATGGCAACCTCTACAGGAAAGTCTCCAACCGGTGTCAAAGATTCCAAAACAAGACTAACAATTTTGTCATGTGCAAATGCTGCAGGAACGAACAAGTGTAAACTTTTCATAATCAGAAAAAATGCACGACCTAGAGCAATTTAAATGAGTAATGATTTTCCCCATCATATATCATGCAAATAAAAGAGCATGGATGACACAAGCATTAATGAATAATTGGTTTGAAAATCATTTCATACCCGAGGCTCAGTAATATTTGAATTCGGTCGGCTTACTTTATGATGCAAAAATTGTCCTAATTGTAGACAATTGTTCAGCTCATACTTCACTTAAAATTTTAGTGAAAGATAATGTATCTAAATTATTCTTTCCTCTGAATTTTATGTCTATCAATTCAGCCTATGGATATCGGAATAGTGCACTCACTGAAATGCAAACATGAAGTAGCATTTTTTAAATCCATGTTAAATTTCTTGAATAATGGCAAGACTATTTAGGTATTTTTTAAATATTTTAGCATAAAGTCTGCTGTGTAGAGCATCACAAGTTCGGGAGACACTGTGTCTCCAGATATTTTTTAAAATGCTTGGCATAATTTATGGCCAGCTATCATATTTCATGGTGAGGATGATGAAGATGATAGTCACTGAGGTTTTCAGGTATCACAAACCAAAGATGAAATTTTCCAGTTAAAGGATTTTGTAAAGAAATGTTGAGAAGCGGTGATAAATGAAGATGATATAACACAAGTTTTTCACTGCGATGACAATGCCCCAATCATCAGTCAATAAATGGACATCGAGATCTGTAGCATGGTTCTAGATCCAGAAAATACCGCTACCGATAACAAAGAAAGAGGTTATTGAAAGAGGATTATTGAAAAGGAAAACATTTCGACTGACAAGTTAGTTGGAATTCTCTAAACAGCAACTACAAGACTTGAGCAGTGGAATTTTGTAACTGAACAAGAGATTATATCTGTCTGTAGAACTGAAGAGAAAGTATTAGCACAAAAAACGAAGCAACTTAAATAATTTACATTCAACGAAATGTTTAATAAAGTAAACAAATAAATATTAAGCCCCCTTTTTTTGGGTAAATTTTGATACCCATTAGATCATAAATGCTCATTATTTCAGAAATCATGATTTCATATTTTTAATTTTATAATTTCTGCATGCCATCTTACTAGACTTAAACTGATGATCTAATATCCAGAAAATTTCCAAATCCGGAATGGATCTCAGACTTTGTACTGTATTAAACCTGTTTCTTGCTTTGCATTCTGGTTTTGTGTTCTTTAAATAATATTATTGATTTTATATATATTATATAATTTTATTGTGTTTTTCTCTTGTATTTATTTTATTTGGTTTATAGTGTATATTTAGCTATCAAACCCCAGTCAACCCCTTGATCATTATTGATCCTGAGGGGGTCAATTCCAACCCCTGATCTAGGATCCAGAAGATGTAATTGAGCAATTACATTTCATTTCTAAGCGTATTGAGTATGTCCTTTTAAGTATAGTGGAGAAACAAACTCTATACGTTAACTGAATTAATTAGTATTTTGCATCCCCCTTTTTTTTTTCTTTTTATTGGAAATGTATGCCATTGCATGATAGCTCATTGAAATTTTTAGAGCTTTTGCAAATTTTAAATTGTTAAAATGACCTTAAATTTGTGTCTTATTTTTTCCAAAAAAAATGTATAATGATTTTAAATATCTTAAAATAAGTATTTTTTTCATGAACATTTGAAGTAGGTTTTGTTTTATATATGAATTTTATGACCTGGCAAAACAGAAGTTATTACCATTTCATTTTCAGCAAATTTGTGACAAACCTCATATTCAAGTGTAATCTAAAAATTGGATCAGGGCAAAGGTAGAATCTCGAATACAAAAGCTTAGATTGTAATTAAAAAAAGGGGAAAAGGTGCATAATTTTTACATGTTTTTAATAACTTTTTAACTTAATGGCAGTGCCTTCTTTGTAGCATCAAATTGTAATCTTAAATTTTCAAACTAATTTATTTTAAACTTAAATGCCTTAAATATTTATACACTTAAAAGTGGATGCTGCAAAATAAGTTAATATATTTTTCCTGAAATACTATCAAAAGAATTTTCTAAAACTGCTAATAGCCTCCAGATAATTGTTTCGAATATTTCATGATTACATTTAAATATAAAATTGTTGTAAGTGAAATAAATTAATTCTGTAACTGTCAACATTGAAACATATCTGTTTTTTTTTTTTTTTTTTTTTTTTTTTTTTTTTTTTTATAGTTAAGCAGCAATGAAATGCTATAATATTTATTTGATTTTTTTCTAAAATATTGTTTAATTAGTGTTAAAATTTCTAACATAACTATACTTTAATTAGGGTTTCAAAAAGATATTGCTACAGACACTGCTTTCAGCTCTTGTATTATGTTTAGTATTATTAGTCATTCATTTCTTGAATTATAAAATTATGCTGCATTTTTTAGGTTACTAAATATATTTAATTAATTTTGACGCTTTTTGTATTTCTTATGTGCATTATTAAAAACTTTTTATATTGTGTACTTAATATTGTATTTTATTTATATAATTTATTTTCAGAAAAAGGAAATCAAGCATAAACCTATATCTGTGTCAAACTTTAGAGTAGTTGTTGACAATATGGCTCATGGTCTAGCCAAGTATCTTCGAATATGCGGTGCAGATGTAGTCATTCTTGATAATGATGACGATCATATGCGTGCTGTTGAGGTGAATAATTTCAAATTTCCCTTAATCTGCTTTCACTTAAATTTGTGCATGATAATTAAATGGAAGAGAAATATGCCAATGTAAAATTTTAATTTAGACAAAAAAGCAGCTTTATTTTAGCATAAGGTTTGAATTAAATTCTTATCGATTTCAAGGATGATCAGACAGATCCCTCTTCTTCAGGAACCAAAGAATTTGTAAAAAGGTTTTTTTCACTCTTCAACCATCATTCTTAATCAATTTCAAGGATGATCAGACAGATCCCTCTTCTTCAGGAACCAAAGAATTTGTAAAAAAGTTTCTTTCACTCTTTTAGGAAGAAGGATCTGTGTCTGATTGCCCTCGAAATTAACAGTATTTTATTCATAACTTAGGCTAAAAAAAAGAGTTGCTTTTTTGCCTAGTTTTAAACCTGTGCATGGCATTAAAATAGCTCCTTTTTTACTGTGATTTATTGAGCATATCACTGACAAGTAGACATTTAATGTATTGTGATGTATATAAATCATTCCATGAGATAGAAAAGTAATAAGGATTCAAGCATAAAGCTATATCTGTGTCAGACTTCAGGCTCAGCAGAGGCTGAGTGGTAACGTCACCGAACACTATTAGTTAGGTCTGAGGTTCGAATTCCATGATGAGCTGGCTGCATGGGTATTTTCGTAGTTTTCTTCATGTGTTATATATATATATACGAGCCAGTTTCCCTTGGAAAGTCCTCCTGAAAGGCATCTCTCCTCTTAGGTAGATAGCCGTTAAGTGCTTAATAATTAAACCAAACCTAGGTCAGACTTTAGAGTAGTTGTTGATAATATGGCTCATGGTCTAGCCAGTTACCTTTGAATATGTGGTGAAGATGTAGTCATTCTTGTTTTTAGAATATGGGATTGGAATATAGCATAATAAAGCAAAACCTTTTGAACTACAAAGCAGAAACATGCAAAGTAATGAAATGAAGTGTTATAAAATGCTACACAATTTTTACTTTCTTGTACAAGATAAAAAGGAAGTATTGTAATCGAGAAAAGCTTCAGGCAGCATATTTCAATGAAAATATCCACTTTGACCGCTTTCGAATGCAATTTAACGATGTTTTTGCGTGATATCTGTACGTAAGGACAGAATAAAAGACTGTTTTCCCCAAAAAAACTAAAAAACTGCCTTAAAATTAATTCTGAAGAGAATTTTTCGTGGCGTCTTTACGAACGTACATACGTATCTCGCATAACTCAAAAACGAGTAGCCTCAGAATTTTGAAATTTTGTATATAAGACTACTATAACATGTAGATGTGCACCTCGTATTTTGGTTTCAATCGGCTGCGCCAAACGTATATAAATATATTTATAAATATATCCACTCTATTACCCGGCTCAGTGATCTCAGTTTCTTTACTCTTATATGTTTGTAAATTGTACATTTTTTGCTTTAAAAATGATTGAATTATGTTGTTTTTATCTTCTGGTTAAGGGTTATGCCTTTAGTAAATCTGTATGCAATATTTTTAGAATTATCAACAATTTTAAAATTGTTTAAGTGCTGCTAAGCCTAATTTGATAGCGGATATTTCTTTTGTTTACATTGGAAACAGCTGAGTAGCGGATTTGGGTCCAATCTGGAGAAACTTAGCTTCGCAACAACAAAGCTTTTTCTTGTTTTGAAGCGCTTTGCATTGGACCTTCTCAATAATTGCTTTCAAAACTGATGGTCTTCCACTCCATTTTTCATCATGGACAGCCTTCCGACTGATACCAAACTCTCTGCATCACTTTCAGATGTGTTGAACGGACATACATTTGTCACTATATACCTCTGTCAACTGATGATGAATATCCATGAGTGAAGCGCTTTTGGTATGCAAAAAGCAAATTACGGACGAATCTCGCTCTTGGCAGGAGCAACAATGGTCACCTCCATCTCAGACAGCTGGTGAGCCAAGACTGAGCAGCACAGTGAAACACGGCTGGGCTGAATTGAGAGTGGGAGAATAGAGGCACACAGCGGTGTTGCTGGATTTCACTTCACACCTTCCCTCGTGGCTGGAGCTCTCTGGGAATCTTATTTCTGGATCAACTTGCATTTACCAACCCTGATGATATGTATATGTGATTTCATTGTGCATTGTTTTCATTTAACCACTGTTTCCTTCCCCCTTACAAAAATAAAGAAAATATATGAATTTTTTGGTTTGTTGCTATGTGGTGGTGATGTTTATTTTAGCATTCATACTTTTGCAGTTTAATTTGTATGCATTTCATTTTGTCAGGTATTTTACATTTAAAGTTTTTCCATTTTTATATATATTCTACTTTTATTGATATGTTTATACATTATTACTTTTTTATTTTTTACTTTAAATATTTCTATAATTGTCAGATTGGCTGTAGGTAAGAGCTTATTTTATTAAATATTTCTGTTTAGCTTAAATGTGCAAACTGAAATTTCTGTTTAATTATTTTATATTACTGCAGTTTTATGCATGTTTTAAATTCCGTTGTACATTACATTTTGTTTTTTATATTCGTGTATGCACATTGTTAAACTATTAATATTATAAATAATTTATACTAGCGGAAGTACCCAATGCAAGTTACATCAGATTGAGAGTAATGTTTCTAGAAACAGAGAGAATGATACCGTTGTAATTCTTCTCTAATAATGACAAAAAAATCACGATTCATACTCAAACATTTTTCAGGCTGATGCTATATGGAACCTACATGAAAAATTTCAATAGAAGAAAAAAAAAAAAAAAAAACTAATTCTCCCTCATTGTATCAGCAACAATGGCATGCAGTTTTAATGAATTTTGGCTTTCTAATCAGATGGTCGTAAAAGCTCAAATTCCATCCAATATTTCACCTATATTCAATTTTAGTTGATTAAATGTGGCAAAAAGTTGATTATAATTGATGAGAAATTAATAATATGAACAAACAAACACACAAACAGACATTCTTCTTTATATACATAGATTTTGTAAAACTTACAAATTTTTATTGACAAACTCTATGATTTGAAAGCGAGCAGTAGCAACACTTTTCAAAATAAAGCATTTTTATCTCCAGTTGTGCGAGACTTTTGTCACTCAAAAAAATGAGCCCGAAAATTAGCACTTTCAGAGTTTTTAATTCATATTTCATCTGATTAAAGATGTACGAAGATGGAAATAGTCAAAAGGGCTTCCCTAAATTTTTGGAATCAGGAATAATGTATTTAATGTTTAGCAATGCTATTTTTATTTCATCGTAAAACTTCGAAATTTTTATGAACAAATTCTAGTATTTGAAAGCGAACTGTGGCAGCAACTTTCGAAATAAAGCAAATTTTCATCTCCAGCTTGCAAGACTGTAGCCACTGGGGAAAATGAGGACGAAATTTATCGTTTTCCCAGGTTTTTAATTAATATCTCTTATTTTAGCTTTTTTTTTTTTTTTTTTTTTTTTTTTTTTTTTTTTTTTTGAAAAGTGGACATTAACTTTTTCCAGGATCCAGAAAAGAATCGTAGAAAGTTTGGTGACAGTAGCTATAGTAGTGACTGAGTTATTAGAGGACAAACACACAGACTTTCTTCTTTATATATATATAGATTATTGTTATATAAGGCAACAAAAAAGTTCTTGCCATTTTGGACAGTCAGAAAGAAAAAGTCATAAAACAAATAATAATCACCGCTAATCCTCAAAGTAATTACCATCAGTATCCAGTGCCTTTTGCCAACAAGTGGCTAGTTGTGCAATGTCATTGCGGTAAAAGTCAGGAGTCTTGGATGCAAAGAAGTCTGTGAGGGCATTTTCGAGGTCTGGCTGGTTTTTGAAGGATTTCCCACGAAGATGGTTGTCCAGGGAATGGAAAAGTTGGTAGTCTGTTTGCGTGAGGTCTGGGGAATATGGCGTATAGGGTAGCGTCTCCCAGCCCAGCCGCTGGATAGTGTTCCTGGCCTCGTAAGCCACATGTGGTCTTGCATAGTCATGGAGGAGGAGGAGTAGTACACCCTTATAATTGACCAATGCTGGCTCTTTATGCATCATTGCTGAATGCACATGTTCTAACTGCTGCGAGTGCAGGCCTGCCATGATGGTTTGGCACACTGGCTGGAACTCGTAGTGCACCACTTGGTGACTAGTCTGCCAGAATCGGAGCATGATCTTGAATGGGTGGAGAGAAGGCCTCTCAGTATGAGGCACAGAGTCCTGTGGTGACAACCAATGGCTGGAACACCTGGGTGTGACATACTGGACCCACTTTTCATTGCTGGCGAGTACAAGATCAAATATGGATGCACTGCAATGCAGAGTAATCCATGACAAAGAGGCAGCCACATGCTATTTCTTGTTTGCATCGGACATTGAGTGGTGTACCCACTTGCTTGGCTTGTATGCCTTTCCTATACGTTGCAAATGCAGTCTGATCATTTCATCAGATACCTGGAAGTATGCAGTAAGCTCACCACATGTTTGGCTACTGTCACTCTCAGGGCCTCATCATCCAGCACTTGTAGCCAACTGCTGCGTGGTGCATCACTAAGAGACATATCACCTGAACTGAACTTCTGGAACCATTGCCTAGCGGTTGGTTCATTAACGGCATCATCCCCAAAAGGCCTGGCAAATTCGGCATTTTGCTTCTGCTGCTGACAGGCCTACTTTAAAATCATACAGCAAACAACTCAGAACGAGCACCTTTGACACATCCATTTCAATCATTCGAGTTATGTTTGAAGAACCGATGCAACGCACTTTTATACTCTTAAGGCCCGTCTACACGTAGCAATTTTCTCAGCCGACTTTCTCGAATTTTAAGGATCTGCGCATGCGCCAAAAATCGGTCATGTTTTCTGCCACGATTTCAGAACTGGTGTTCACTGCTCACTAGCGTACGATAAAATCGGGGTCTCTAGCCAATAAGATTGCTTTGAGTGATCACGTGCTTTTCTCCTCATTTGGAATAATAAACATGGCTGCATTTCGTTGGAGCGAAACTCAAATTTTTCAACTAATAGATTTCTATAGAGAAAATGTTGTGTTGTGGCACACGAATAATGTAAATTTTAAAAATAAAAAATTAAGGGATTCTTTTATTTTGATAAGATTTGTCTTCCCCATTACTTTATATATTCAAATATTTTCTAATTCCAGGTGAAAATGATTTTAACTCCCCAAGAAAAGTTCCCAAAACTATTAATGATGCCATGTCATGGGTACTAGAAGAAAAATATTCAGAAACTACTTGAAACTGTGGTCGCACTTATTGAAAAAAAATTAAAAAAGCAAATCTCCAGTCGAGAAATTACGGGCCGATTTAAAGCAGCGCAGAGACTCAATTGACTTCGCCGAAAATGGGAGTTAATCAGGTGACGAAGTACATAGCTTTTCCGACATAGTTCCTACACGAGCGATCGTAGCCCAGTGGTAAAAAGCAGACTAAGGCTTTCTTCTGTACATCGAGATCGTGGGTTCGATCCCTCACCCTTAGTTTTGGACTTTCTGCGCTTGGAAAAACTTTTTAATTTAGTTTCTCCATCACTAAATTCGAACTGCGTGACTTAAAAGTCACATTTTATTTTTTCGCTATGGGTGAGGTATTTTTATTGAATTTTAGTGTCTTTCTTTTTATTTTTCGAATGGCCGTTGGCACGTGTTTTAGATCTACTGATCAAAAGAAAGTCAAAAGTCAAACTCAGTTTTGTGTTAATTGAATTTTGCGAAAGCAAATTACAGCCCAATTTAATTGAATATTGCTAAATTTTATTCGCTGATTAACTGATAGAGCCATATAATCATAGTTTTCAGACTGTATTAGTTATCTAATTATGCTGATATTAGTTTTTTAATGTTCAATAAATATACTACTTTAGACATTGCACCTTTATGATATTTCTTATTTAAAATTTTTGCACTGAAATTACACTGTTGCTTTGTAATGTAGTAATCTTTATTCTTTATTAATACTTTTTACTCATATTGGTTTGATATTCATGGTATTATTGTCTATTTATTCATTAATAAAGGTTTTGATTTAAAGCACAATAGCTACTTATTTTTTCTGAAACATGGTTATTTTATTATTTCAAGATTTAAATGCACAAATAGGAGTGCCAGAAAGTGAAATTTAAAAATAAATAAATAAACTAAAAAAGGAGTAACCTGTGTACTCAGTACACAAAAGAAAAACTTTTTTTTTTTTTTTAATTTTCCTGCAAACTAAATTTAGCAAAAAATCAAAATCACGCGGCATCATCCGTAAATACTTTCCGAATTGTATTGTGTCTTCAATACGCAACTCCCAGAGCAGGGAATTATGAAGGCACTGTGAATTTCTCGTCGTTTGACCCAATTTCTGGTCCAAACGCATTTTTTCCCCTTCTGTAGCAGTAGCTAAGTTCAAAATTGTAGCTGTATCTAGTAAATAGTAGCAATTTAAAATAGTCATCCATTATTTTGACTATTTGACACTACCGTAAGCTTTGTTTACAAATTGTAGACGGTGTTACGCTTTAGAGGGCGGGAACACTTCTTTCATAGTGATTGGCTGAGTGAATTCCTGTACTAACAAGAAAATCATTCCGTGTGGACAGGCGAGCTATCTCAGATATTGTCGGCCGAGAAAATCGCTACGTGTAGACGGGCCTTTAGTCAATGTCCAGACTCCCATCCTAACCACTTCATTGCCAGGTTTGGCGACTATTTTTATCCTGGGGTTCACTTTTCCAATGTCATATCAGAAACAGCAAGAACTTTTTTGATTACCTTATAATATTATAATTTATATTATTATTTGAAAGTAATGCTTTATTCAATTTTTTAAAATTCAGTTATAGAAATTTTATTTGAAATTGCAGCTCTGTCTATTTGGTTTAGTGGTATATCAATTTTATCCAAGTTATAGATATTAAGTTCATTAATTTAGTTTTTTTTAACTTAAAAATTTTTCAGTTTTTGCTTTTTAAGTGTATTATAATATCACAGGACTTCATTTATTTATTATCTTTTCCATGTGTACAAATTTCTTAGTTAAAATTGCTATTTCACTCCTATTATAAGTTTAAAATTTATGTAAAAATTTTTTACTTTTAATCTAATTTATTTATATGATATAGATTTTTCTTGAGTTATTACCTCTGGCAATTTTTTCCTTTCAGTCAGTAAATAAGCTGAAAAATTTATTTGAAAACATACCAAAAGACACCACCAAAAGATATTAATTGTTATTTTTCTGTTCTGAAAATCTGAGTTTTAATACAATACTGTATTTCAATACTTTACGACTAAAAATAATATTTCATTGCTGTATGACTATTAATTACCCATTTATCATTGAGCAAAAGAAACTGCAGTAGTATTTTCCAGATTATATTCTTATGGTTATCTGACTAATTAGAAATCATAAATTATTTTCATAGATTTCCCAAAAAGAAAACCGCATCATTCTGAGTTCTGGAGGACCTTATGAAAAGGTAACTTACTCTTGAAGTCAAATGTTTGTTATATAAATTTTATGTTCATTGTATAAAGTGTCAAAGAATATAAAACTATAAATATTTTTGAATTTGAAATGGTACTTGATATTTGTTTTGTGTTCAGATATAAATAAACGTTTCTGCATGTTGTGTTTTTACATGCTTATTTTGAATGAAACTGAAAATGTAGTTATGTGTAAGGAATCTGATACAGTTTGATTATGATGGTATTCATTCTTTCTGGCACAATAATGAGTATAATATTTTTTCAATAAAAGAATCTGCCAATTAATTGTGTGTTTAATGAAAATGTCTATAATATTTAATAGCTTGTAATGTCACATGAAGAAAAATATGTTTCTTGAGTGTATAATGTCTCATGAAAAAAAATCTCTTTCAAGTATATTGCTAATTTACATAATGAAGACTGAGCTAATGCCTTGATGTTATTAAAAAAGAATACTTTTCAACTAATGGTTTAAAATTGCAAATTATTTATAATATAGAATTTTAGTGCACGAACTGTTAAAAATATTATTGCTTTCTAGTATACATAATTGTAGTTCTCATTATTTAGTTAAAATTGCTATAAATACATTAGATAAAGTATGTTTTCAGATATTATTTTCCAAATGGAGGAACTGAATTTAGGAATTGGATAAAAATAGTGAACCCTGTTATGATGACCACTTGTTATTATTTCTGGGAAAAAAATTATTATTAATTATAATATCATTCTCTAAGAAAACCACTCTTTGACAGAGGTCATTAAATACTATTTATGGTTATAAACAATAAATTATACATTATAGGTCATTAAATACTATGACCTCAAGGATGTCTGATTTCGGACATTTTGGTATCAACCTAAAATATTTCAAACTCTGAATAATTTTTTAAAAAAGTATCTCCTTTCTTTTAAATGAAACTGCTTTTTATATACATTTTTAAACATAGATTTTATTTTTATTCCAAATGTATTTTATGTCATAGGCTCATTTTTGACACAGTGCACATTAAATAATTCATTTGATTCTTATCGGTTAGCTGTTTATCAGTTTGGCAATGTATTCAAATCAATCCTTAACCAATGACTGGTATTGGTGCTAGTAGCTCATTTCTGCCTTTGAGTGAACAGCTTGTTGTGGTTATTTCCAAGTAGATAACTCAAGCATCTGTGCTTGCAGCTTTGTATTTTAAATTTGGTAAATTCAAAGTGTTTAAAGGTAAAAACATTTAAACGTTGATGTGATTACAAATTACTGTTGCTAGGAGGGGTCTGTCACAAAGGAAACTAGCAGGAAAATATGATAAGTGGTCAGTATTAACAAGATAGTTGATTTACTTTATGGACTTATTTTTAAAAAGAAAGCCTTTGACAGAAGGGAAAAGAATCAAGAGGGCAGATTTTATTGGATGAATATTTTAACTATCAATAAATGGCTCTAAAGTACAAAGCAGAATTTGTAATTTATTGATAAGGTTACTGTTTTCTTTCTTTACACATTAAGTCTCTTTTAGAAGTTCACATTAAGTATTTTGGAAAATTAAGAGTAAGATAACTTTTGCTTTTTACTATTATTATATTTATCTCTGCATCTAATTTGCAATTTTGTTAATATAATGGTTGTAATAACCATTATATTAACAAAATTGCAAATTAATTAATTGCAAATTAACAAAATAAAATCATTAGTAATAAATTATCCCTACCTCTGAAAGTTTCAGTCAAATGTAGCAATAACGTATAGATGAAAAATGCAAAAATAGCATACTGGTATGGATTAATAATAGATTAAATTTACAGAAATAAATAGGCAATTTTTTCAAAAAGAATGTAAGGAATAAGGATAACAAACAGTCTAAGTTATCTTAAATAAAATAAGGATTGAAAAGACTCTTGTGTTATAGAGAGATGTGTAATAATAATTCAAATGTAATCCTAAAATCCAAAAATGCAAGAGTCATAAAGTAAAAGTTTGAAAGCACTCTGAAGCAATAATAGCAATAAGTAATAAAATGAGAATAAATCTGAACAAAAGTAAAATTTCATTTAAACCATAAAATACTTTTCAAGGACGCACACATACACCCGCACACACACAATAAGTTATAATCAGATTGTTTCAGTACTTCTCTTTAACAAACTAAAAATAAAAAAAAAAAAAAACTTGAGTAGAATTATCCACTATGTTAATTAACAACTGCAATTACTAAGACACAATAACATGCCGAATAAATACTAATTCAGAAGTCAAACAACAAAAATCAACAAGCAAATGAACAAGATAGGAAATAATATTTTTGTGTGACTTCTGAATTAGAACTGCAATTACTATCAGCTAAATGACTAAGACTTTCACAGAAGACAAAAACCATCTGGAACATGGGTGGTCTTATTGAAGAGCTCCACCTGCGACTGAATGGTTAAGAAGGCTGAATGTTGGTAGTTCAACCTGAGTACATTACATGAGCTGGCTGTTATTGTTTGTTTTCATTGTTTTTTAGGTGTATAACATGAATATGAAGCTTTTTTTTAGATGGTCCTCTACAAAGGCACCCTTTTCCTTAGGCAGATAGCTCTTGTATGCTTCATCATATTCAAGATAACCTAATCATAGAGAGAATTTGCTATTTATGTTTTCAAATCTTATAGTTAAAATCTTTCTATTGAAAATTTCTTTGGCTTTTAATACTTTTCAATATTTTATGAAGAGAGAAAATAAAACTACATTTCTCTCTGTAAGTTCCTAATGATTGTTAATTGATTGCTTGCATGAATAATTCATATAGTTATATTAATTTTTATCAGTTATGTGCATATATTTTCAATAATGCGAATGCAACTTAGTATTTTGCATTAATAATTTTTATAATTAGAATTATGTAGAATAATTTTATCTAAAGCTTTAGTTTAATTACATACATATATTTTCAGCTCAAGGGTTATGTACCTCAAGAAATGTGCTTTTGTTTACCAATTGAAGCAAATGCTAGAGTGCAAGCTGCTGCTGTTCTGAAACATTTTAATGTTCTGTGCAAGGAATCGGATATCTTTTCACGATGCTCGGTACTGTATTGCAATTCTCTCTCTCTCTCTCTCTCTCTCTGTTTTTTTTTTTTTTTTTTTTTTGTGTGTGTGTGTGTGTGTGTGTTTAATTCTGGATTTTGAAATGTAACTAGAATTAAGTTTACCTAAATTTGTTTGATTTAAGCTATTTTTCTTTCAGCTTAGTAAAGAAACTTAAATTGTATAGCATTTTAAATGGTTTGTGTTTAACTGTATATATATACATTCATATACTGTCTACATTCTAGTGTAGTTATAATCATGAAAATTGGTACAGTCAAAGAAACTGGAAGATTTTGGTTTTAAATTAAATATAGTTTAAGATGTTCATTTTGCATAACTGTATTAAGATGAATCAGCTTAAGTTTATAAAAATTGTAGCATTAGTTCAATTATTACAGAATAAAAAATATTTATTGCATTTCAAACTTTTCTATCATCACTGAATTTTTTATTAAAATGTTGGTTCTTTCCTTTGCATTATTTACTGAATTATTCATATTTTATATAAACAATTCTATTTATAATAGCTTTCATTTGGTTTATATAATTTTTGATTTTTGATATTGGTAATATTTTTATTATTCTGAAGAATATACAAGAGCTTGGAAGTATCTGAATATTTGTTACTGGGCAGTTTAGTGCATGTTTTTAAGATTGTTTTGTATATTTTTTTCAAGGAAGCACATATATAACAACTATTTAATATAACATGTTAAACCTAAATGTTTGGCATACCAGTGATCAATGAATAAAATTCTGAACACTAGTAGTTTAACTCAAGTTTATATACCAGCAGACAGGCTGACTGTATGAGAATTTTCTGTGTCTAATGTAAATACAAGCCAATTTTCCCCAAAGTCCCTCCATGAAGGCATCGCATCCTTTTTATACAGATAGCCCTCGGATGCTTAATAATCCAGTCTGATCCAATCCAATCTAAATATTAAGTTTCTTCCATTGCATTTATCAAAATGTTCCATAAAAGTATGTATTGCCCTCATGTCAGAAGATAAATGTATTCTAAGATCTGCTATAGCTGCATGAAAATGCGGAAATCATTTCGCCTTCAGTTCTAAAAATTGTTTTTACAGGTTTTCAGATTTTTCTATTGCATTTCTGCAAAACTGGAAGGTTATAACTTTGGTATTTAAATAATTTAATTACAATATCTATATATATATAGTATATGTATATATAAGAAATCCATCAGAGTTTGGATTTGACGTCGGAAGTATTGCTATATCATTTCAGCATTACTGGAGTCAAAATATTTCATATACAATGGCCTTTTTTTAATTCTGTAATGAGTTGAAATTGATTTTAATTACTGTTGTACTTTTGGCGTTTTGCTGTTATTAATGTGTCAACAGAAGATAGGTTGCGTAAAATCAGACCAATCCAGGATTACTTCAAGAACATTATGTATGACACACATGTATCTGATTAAAACCTATGCATTGAAGAATCTGTAATTTTATGACATGGAAGATTATTCTTCAGGCAATACATTTAAAAAAAAAAAAAAAGAATGAAAAAGAAACATAAATATGGAATGGAACTGTATAAATTAAGCTAATTCAATGTAATGGTTTTGAAAATTCAAATTTGTTGTGGAAATTGTTGTTTTCAAAAAAACATGCTTCCCGGGTAGTCCTGCAATGAGGGATATATGCTAAACACAGATAATTTTCAGACTACAATTATCTTGTGCTTACAAAGAATATGACATCTATGAAACCTATATTTGTGGCACTCTGTGCAATAATTATACAGAAAATTCAAAAACATTATTGGGGATGGACTGAAAAATTAAAAAATACATATAGCAGAGAAGTTAATCTGTAGTTAGTTGTTTGTAAGTGGAAAGAGAAGTTAATCTGTAGTTAGTTGTCTGTAAGTGGAAAGGTATGCATGATAACCTTAAATACTAAATATGTAGGAGGGGAAAATGCTCAAAGTTTGAAACAGAAATGAAATATATATCCCAAAATCAAATTTAATCAAGAATTACAATACCAATTGCAATCAAATTACAATACCAATTGTAACCAAATTACAGTACCAATTGTAATCAAAGATTACAATACTAGATCATCATAGAATACCAGAACACCAATCTATTGTCTAAAACAGTGCTGTGATAAAACAGTTAAATAGCTTTATACGATATTGAAATATAATGGGTTTTAATGAGTTGGTTCACTTAAAAGATTTTCTGAAGAAAATGCAATAAAGAAAGATCTGGTATTAAAGGGATACTCATAGACATCGAGGCTAGTTATTCTTATTCCAGATCTAAAATTATTAAATAAAAACACATCTATTTATTTAGAAGGGGCATAAATTAAAACATATTTCCTTCTTTAGGTTTGCAATGGAAATCATTATCTCAGAGTTAGGAGTGATGAACTGTTCTCACTTTGGTGCAAGCTTGTTGGTTCTGAAAATGAGTTTGACACCCCTCAAAGAAAACAAAATGCAGATTTGGTATCTCATATTACTGAGGATGGACTCATGCAAACTGGTGTACCCATCCAGCTTTCTGCCCTTTCATCTCAAGTATTTAAACGTGTAGAATACTTTTTTATTTGCACAAAGTGTGGTAAAGTGTATTGGGAAGGCTGCCATTTTTCACGTGTAAAGAAGTACATTTCTGAGTTTATAGGAATAGAAGATAGTACAGAAAATATTTATCAAGTAAATATTTAGTTAATTTTTAAAGTTTTTTAGTATTTTTAAAAACAGTATCGTTTTGTGTTGTAATTGCCCCAAATTTTCACTCACTCTCTGTGTAATTGGTATGTTTAAATCAATATTTAAAGATTCCTATATGTATGTAATCAAAGCCATTTACTCAAATTTTAGGACTTTTTTAAAGTGTAAATGTAGTATTCATTATGAAAGAAAATTTTGAATTATATGTCGAATACTAAATAAAATTTTACAAATTGATGGACTATGAAATTCAAAAGCTGAATTGGAGGCATTGTAAAATTTCAATTATTTGTAATTTAATCACAGATATTTAAGGAACAGATATACTTGAAATATACTATTTAAATTCATGTCCATCTCCGATTCTTCTGTTCACAAATGATCAAAAAACTCATGAAGAGTTTTTAAATGTTAATTTTTAAGGTATAGAATACATTAGTAGCAAAGCTATTAATGTGTAATTTAAATATTTTTTCTAGCAAACGCAATCAGTTATACAAATTTCAGTGTAAATATGTTATATTTTTTTATATGTTGCATATTGTTAATATTTATCTTTACAGAAATCTACACATTACTTTCCATGCAGTTAATACATCTCATTATTTCTTGCTTTGCATATAAATATTGTAAATTCACTGAGAGGCATGATCAAAATATTTAGAAGGAATAATACTGGAGGAAAAAATATAAAAATTATTTAGCTTTATTTTTTTAAGGCTATAGCTATTTTTATTTCATTTTTCTTGTAACGTGTTTGAAAGATATTTATTTTGTGAATCATAACAGTATTTTAAATATTCTAAAACTGGTGTTACTTATATTAGGCATTTTCGGAAGATTCAAGACCTGGCATTGATTTATCAGAAATTGTTGAAAATGGCCCATCTGATCAAATTGATGTGGCCAGTTACAGTGAAGAATCTCCATCACCTGTTACTTCATCATCAGTCACTTACTGTGCTGAAGATATTAGGCACTTTGATGAAGATTCATCAGATGAGGATTGTGATATTATGTATTATGATTAGAAATAGTAGAGGAAAGAATGAGCTCTCTTTTAAAAAAAGATTGTGATAATTATGTAAAGTGAATAAAGAATAAAATATTTTTTATTTTTTTTTTTTTTAATTCCTTTTGTAATTCAATTTTTTTTATGCTAAATTTTTCCGATCTTGTTTCAGTATTCAATTCAACAGTTACAAAATTCTTAGAGATACTCACAAGATGCAGATTTAGACAGAAAAAATTTGCAGTATGAAATTTTAAGCTTAGAATCTTACACCTGAGAGAATATTTTACCATTAAAAATTGAAAAATCATGAAAATTAACTGAAATTTTAATCAGGTCTTTGAATTTAGATTCCAGGTGAATACTGGAAATGGTTTTAAGCTAAATTACAATAAGCCATTTAGTTAAAGCTTATTAGCCATTCACCTTACAGAATATAAATGAACTCAAAATAATAATGTCAAACAATAGGAAAAAATAAATTGCTGTGAGATTATTTTATTCTACATAAATGCCAATTAGTTTGTTTAACCAGTTAAAACAAAGCATACAATAACCATCTTCTTATAAAGGGGTAGGGACTTTTGTTGGAAACTTTCTCAGAGCTTGTATTCATATTATACAAATGTCATGAGAATGCCTTCGCAATCAATTAATACAGAAAAAAATATTGAAGGTTCTGTGCATTGGTTATACACAATGCTCGTAATAAATATTTTTTTGAAACGAACTGACTATAATTTTGACTGACTATTTTGTAAATAAATTAAGAATATTTTAAATTTCACCACCTTTTAATACAATGACAGATAAGAAACACACTCATGATTTTTCTGCTTGCAACGTTGAAAAACGTAAACACGTTGCATTGATGGTAATGCAAAAGATGGAGGCAGGTGATACTCCTCTGTTTATAGCAGAATCGTATGGAATTGCGACACGATTGTGTATGATATACGGTAAAATAAAGAAAAGCTGTTGAAATTTTACTGCAACAGTGATTCTAACACCGGAATCCGAAACTGGAAATCTTTGTTTTGGGTGAAATCGGCAAACCTGGATGCTGTGTACATATAATACAATGAATAATATAATCAATTTATATATGTAATAATAATTTATAATGCATATAAGTTATTGCAATATAGTATATAATAATTTAATTAAATGTATCTAATACGCCTTATTAATTTCACACTTTTAGTCTGAATACAGTACAAAGTCTTTAATCCGGACTCGTCGGGACTTCGGCGATTTCAGATTAGGGTTTTTTCCAGATTATAGATCATCAATTTAAATCTGGTAAGATGGCATGCAGAAATTATAAAATTAAAAATATGAAACCGTAATTTATGAAATAAAAACCAATTATGATCTAAAGGGTATCAAAATTTACACACACAAAAAAAAGCTTAATATTTACTTTATTAAACATTTCTTTCAATGTAAGTTGAGCCTACGAGCGGTAAAGATGCTGAACACTGGTAGTTCGGTCCGAGGTTCGAATCCCGCGAACGGGCTGGCTGCATGGGCGTGTTCATGGTGTTCCCCATGTCACATCATGTCTAATGTGTATATGAGCCAGTTTCCCTTAGAAAGTCCTCCATGAAGGCATCCCTCCCTTTAGGCAGATAGCCCTCGTGTGCTTTGCCATAATTAAAAAATCCAATTCAATCCAATGTAAGTTGTTTAAGTTGCTTCGTTTTATGTGCTAATACTTTCTCTTTAATTCTATAAACAGACATAATTTCTTGTTCAGTTACAAAGTTCCGCTGTTCAAGTCGTAATTGCTGTGCTGAGAATGCCGACTGACTTGTTAATCGAAATTTTTTGATTTTCTCTAACCTCTCTGTCACTTTCTTCATGTCTTTATCTATTTTTTGCAGCATTTCCACTTTTTGTTTGATGGGCATCGAAACATGCTTTCGCTTTGTAGATCCTTTGGCAGCTCCAAAATCGGAAACTCTTTCTGACATAATCGAAAGTTCAAGCTTACTTTTTATAAAATTGCTCTAACAGTCTGCAAAAAATGATAAGCCGTATCCAATTAGAAGATTAAGGAACAACGCAATCTGAAACATTAACTGAAATAGATAATTAGGTAATTTTAGCCTAGTTTATACTGTTCGTTATACATTAAACGCACATGCGTAAACCTATTATGTGCATGTGTAAAGGTATTATGCGCATACGTAAACTCTACGCATGCACAGAAAGTTTGTAGCTTTGAGGTTCGGATTAAAGACATTGTACTGTATTATGATTTATCTTTTCTGTCCTGAAATCCTAAAATCCGCATAACTTCTGGTCCCAAGCTTTGCGGATTTCTGGACTTCTACTGTATATACATAATACCCCTCAGATGTTTTATTCTGAATTAAATCTCTCAGTAGGATATTTTCTTTTTGTCGTGAACAAGGTTCAGATTTTGATGATATATGCATTTTTGAGTATTTTGCTCTTTTAAAACATATCTGGGCCATTTTAGGTTATTTCAAAATATTTTTTGCACTTTCCAGTAATCAAACTGAGAAATGAAGGTATATTTGAAATAACACTGTCTCTATGAATTTATTTTATCCACAGGAAATGGATTGTGTCAGTCCTATCTATCATGACAGGCTATTTTCACAAGGTATGAGTGTCACTTCTAAGAATTTTGTTATACTGGCATTTCTTAGCTCCTTAAAACATTTTGCACATGTTCAGTTCCATAGAATTATGTGCAAAGGGAAAAAGCATTTCTTGGAATTACAGTTGTGTAAAATATAATTCCCTACCTCTATAAAATACCCTTTATTTTTATTTATTTATTTGCTCAGTTCATATAACTTATAGGTGGTAAGTTGGCAAATGATACTTTCCATTTTTAAAAAGGGACTGTTTGATTAGGAATGCTATTCGTGCAAAAGACATTTATTAACCATACTTTTTGCCAAAGGATTCTTTTGCTTTGAAAGCACCACAAATATGAGCTTTTTTTTATAAAAATTTAGAGTGTTTGCTGTAAATATATTTTGTGGGATTCGAAGGGAATAGTGGTTAGTGATGTTGACAGAAGAAGGCATGGATGTTTCTAAATGTCTGTGTGGTAAAGGGGCACTCAAAATACACAGTGAACTGAAATCCTCTCGAGAGGTTGGTGGTGACTCGGCTTGTCACCTCAACCAATAGGTTAATGGCCCTATGGATCATTTCTAGGGGTGGGGCATTTAACTTTGTTAAGGCAGCCTTGAACTATCCCCTTCTGCCTAGTGCACTGGTGGGAAAAGAGAGATGGGACACCCTTGGGTTGTTCTCCATCCAGGAAGAAAGTTAACAGTTAGCAAGACCTGGCAACATGTAATGGTGTGCCAGCCTTGCGTCAACCTGCACCTGTAAATATTTTGTTTTAAATTTCAAGTTCCTAATTTAGCTTTGCTACTGAAGACTGTTAACATGGCTGTATGCATGCAGATTTACTATATTGAAAATTTTTAAACTGTGAAGTCGGTTGTGAATAGCTTTGATGCAGATGATGATTCATCGATTCAAATTATGCCAAAATGTATTCTCCACAGACAAAATTAAAGGGAATATTGCATACATCATATCCAGTTTCAGGATTCCAATTCAGAATCTTAACTATTAAATCTTTACAAGAGTAAAATGTAGAACCGCTCGATGCAATAAATTGCATTGATAAATTAGGTGATGTTTCATAAAAGTCTAAAGTATTCCTTTTTCTGAATTCGACACTGTTCTGACCAAAAACTCTGGCTTCCAATCTATGCTCAAAATATCTATCTTGATAGAAGAAGCACTCTTTTGGAACTGAAGAAAACATTAACTTTACAGTTTTTAACTTAACAGTTTTTAAGTATGCTCCAATAACTGCAGTAAATGTTGAGAAAAGCTTCTCATAGTATTAAAAACGTATATACTGACAACAGAAGATTTTCATTTTCAAAAATATCACGCACTTAATAATTTGGCATGATTGTAATGTATTTGTGTGAACTTGAAAATTCAAGTGACAGGTATGTGTAAATGTTTGGGTTTAAATCCATTTGTGAACATTCTTAATTGCCTCATTTTTAATATTTTTTGGGCCCCCCCAATTAGGATTATTTGTAAGGGCATGTTTTCCATTTTAAATGCATTTTCAGGTCATCAAAATCTAGGTCTTGGTCATGAGAGAGTTTCTGACTCTACAGATTTGTTAAAATATTTATTTCCTTATATACTTCATTGATCTAGATATCTTAATGAATGGAAAGTTATGAAATGCAAAATGCCCAGTGGCTGTGCTGAGAGATAGCTTCCCTGCAAAGCGGGTCAAAAAGGATGCTTCTCCAGTGAAGCATAGAAAGAAGTCTGCCGGCTGACCAGCATGAGTCATTGACAGGCTTAGTTGCCAGATTTGGTGCGGGCGACAAAGTTAGCGATACATCATAGATGGAATGTATTTTTAGTGGTTTTCTTGGGAATATTCTTGAATGTAGGTTAAAGCTATATATACCCTGCCTGTATGGGGAGAAAGTAGTGTCTTGAGTTCAGAGACTAGCTTGAGAGCAATCAATCAAGTTGGGAGCTGTAATTTAGTGCTTTGCCGTGAAACTGTCCTCACCATTATATCCTGAAGGCTATGTTGCTGATTTTTTCAGTGTGTGTGTCGGAATTTTTCAACAAGTGTAAACATGTCTTTGGAAATATGCTTACTGGTGAATAAATTGTGTTTTGATGCTTCTTCAAGTGTTATCATCAATTACTACAAACCCATAGAATGCAACAATATGTATTAAGATATTACCTTATTGGAATATACACTGTTGTCTTTTAAAATTTCAAATTTTGGCTTTGTAGCATATTTTGAAAATTAATAATACGACAGCTTTGGAAACAAAAAATCAATTTTTCCATTAAAACCAAATTTTTTCAAATCTTGAGGAAGCCTCCTCATTAACCTTTTACACACCAATGTTCTATAAATGGAACATTGAATTTAAAATTTCATAAAAAACACAATTTTATTAATATTGCTTTGTATAAAGTATTACATGGAGTGTAAGTATGGATTGATGTTTTAGTAGCAATATAATTCTTCTAAAAGAAAAATTATCTTGATAA